CCATAAGCAAAATGTGAATCTGGCAAGAAAGTCTCTAGAAAAGGTGTCCGGGGTAGCAGAGAAAGAAAACAATTCACAAGTGATTTTGGAGGCATGTATGCAGAAGAAGATGGAGAAAAACTAAAATATTAAAAATATGTTAGTCATGCTTATGCAAAAGACAGCATTTTGATGAATAATTATTGTATGTTTCAGTAAAGGGAGAAAAACAGACAAAAAGAATAAAAGGTTAGGTTGTTGTGTCTGTTCCCTAGCCACACTCTCTGGGTAAAGTGACCATGAAGTTTTCATCTCCTTAGTGGCTGTATTGCTGCATCCTAATAGAATGGTGCCCAGTGTTGTGTGCCATCAAAGCTTCCCAATTCACTCTGTTCTGAGTCAACATAACCTCACACTGGTTGCCTTTGTCATGTCAGGAATGGAAACTGGAACACTCATACATCGTCTCCTTCAGGTTATTTTTCTCCATCCCTCCTTACATGTAATATTCATCGCAACAATATCATCCATAGAATAAATATTTTCTGGGATGACTGAGCCTGCAGACCGCAGCTGTGGTTTTCATGATCACATTATGCAGTGGACTCATCTCCAAGGCTACTGCATGATCTATGGCAGATTGCCGCCCTCCTTACATCTCACTGTCCCTGGTTGCCACTAAGGAGTTAATAATGCTTATCACAAATCTCCTGCAGGCAAGGTTAAAAGGCTCACTAGAAAAGACTGTAAATTAGATGGTTGCCCAAAGTATGCACTAGGGATGTAGAGCTTTGTGTTAGTCTCAAATAACACTATAACCTAATTCAGGCTGCTGACACCTCTGAACCATAGAACATACAAGCCAGGTCCTGAATCATGTCCACATGTGTAATTTTCATGAGATTTCTCTGCATAGAAATATCTGCACTAAAGCCAGCTCAATTAAGAGCAGAAAGAATAGTTAAGTTTTTTCTATATTTGGTGAAATTATAAATTGTAATCATAAAAATCAAATGATTTGTTTGAAAACCAGGGTTCACGGTAGTGATTTGAACAAAGTTCCACTAATCTGACATTCTAGCTCTTTGTATATGCCCCTAAACAGAGTTCCATTAATCTGTCATTCTAGCTCTTTGTATATGTCCCTACTCAAAGGAGTCACATTCTACACAGGAGGAAGCCCAAGGAGAGGAAGGGGTGTGGTTACAGGAAGAACGTCACAGTTACTTTCTCATTGCCTTGATGAAAGCCTCTAAAGAGAGAAATGATGTTTAGTCTTATAGTCCCAGAAAGAGAGATGGAGTTCACCATTGTAGGGAAGTCCACCATTTCAGGAGGTAGGGAGGCCACGGTAGCAGGAACAGGCAGCTGGCTAATTACTCATCCACACTAAGACAGCAGAAATCAAGAAGTGTAGCTGGGCTATAAAGCCTCATACATTCTTACCAAACAATGATACCCACTGAGGGCTAAGTATGGGAGATGTTTCACATTCAACTCATAACAAATAAAGTATACTCAGTTATTAAAGGTTGCCTTGTGTATTAGTCAGAGGTTTCTTGAAAATTAAAACCAACAGCATGTGCTCAAGAGAGAGAAAGGAGGGAAGTGGGGAGAAAAGAGAGATAGGGATTAAGGAGTTTTCTTTCAAAGAAAGGCCATTACAAAGGCTCCAAGTTCAAAATTTGGAACATGGACCATTAGGGAAAGATGACATTGTGGTTCCTGTACCACATCTGCTGGAGAGTTACTCATGCTAAGGGAGGTGAGTCTTTCTCTATTATGACCTTGACTGAGGGAAGGAATTCCCAGCCTATATTGAAGGTGAGGGATGGGGGCATGGCAGACTGCTGTAATCACAGTCTACCAATTTAAATGGTAATAACATCCACAAAACATTCTCATAGACACATCAGGAGTCATGTTTCAGCATCAATTTTAGCACCACAGCTCAGTCAAGTGGGTATATCGAGTTAACCATTATACTTTTTATTTATGTATCCGTACTTCTGTTTCATCCCTTGGTTTGAGAAAGTAAGGGTACAAGCATATCAAACTGCCTTTGCATGCTTACGGTCTTGTTTGCTCCTGAACCCCAAATACGTGCTCATTTAATGTGTACCAAACTGAAATACTTGGGGCCTTCCTTAACTTTATTTCCCTAGGCTATGATACAGTATGAATTTAAGAATGTGCCCAGAGAAATGTGTCACTTAGTGAAAGCTATTTGTCACAGACTGAAGAGCATCTTCCAAAATTCACATGGTTCAATGGAATTGCAGTTAAAGAGATGTACTCTAAAGAGGGAATTAAAATGAAATGAAAGCACATCTGTACTAGCTCAACTCATTTCACTGAAACAAGATACTCTTTCCTCAAGTTTTCAAGCCTAAGACATGAGTTACCTGGGCCAATATTAGAAAGCTAAATAACTAAACAAGGTTGATGCATGCAATTCTGCCACCTGTCTGAACCTGTGAAATTCTAGGTAAGGTTTTCTTTGTCCCCAAATAATGAATGAAATCGGTGTCCTGTGTGTAGTATTTCAGAATGTAAAGAGCACTCCGAGGAAATCAGCCATTCACATCTCAGTCTGAATTTGTTTTTTCCTACTTCCACAAATCACTGAGATTGACCAATCTGAAAATGAAAGGAAGAAAACAAATTATGTAAAAGCAAATGAATTCAGGAAGCTGTAGAGAAGAATTTACTGAGATACAGGCATTTCTTCCAAAATATGTGTAGGTCTGGCCTTACTATCTTATACATCCTGGAGAAATATCAGGGGTAACAGTCTTCAAAGAAATGAATATTCCTGACCATTATGCTTTTTACTTTTGAAATGAAACCAGTAGAAACCAGTGCCCTCCATGTTACTAATTTTCTGAGCATTGTCCTTCCCCTAAAATTAAGCTTGTCCTGGTCAGTCTCTTTGATGTCTATAATGTTCTTTAAAATGTGGGACTAGTGAGATGATTCAGTTTTGCTCTTGAAGAGGACCCATGTTCCATTCCCAGCAACCACATCAGGAGCCTTACAATTGCCTAGGACCTCAGCTCCAGGGAATATAATGCCCTCTTCCTGTCCTGAAGAAACACGAACTCAATGCACATACCTTTCCACATATATGCACACATAATTATATTAAAACTTATATATATATATATGTATATATATATATATTCCTATTTTCCTCAACCACCTTAACCATCTTCTAAATTCTAGCCATCCCTGAAAATACAAATGAAAAGTACAAAAGACCCTTTTCAAAGTCTTCCTTAATGAATCCTAGTGAAAAATCCTCATCCTCTTTAACCTCTCTGTCCCTCACATTTACATGACTCTTAAAATATATACTGAAAGTTAATTGTCTTTCTGAGTATTAGCCTTAATCCACTGATTAAATTGGGTCTTTTACATCAGGGAAAATTTTAACTGTGGACAACATAAAATACTGACTGACTGCACTTCACAGTAAATCTCCAAAAATCACTGCACAGCTTGATGAGTTGGGCTTTAAGTCATTAAGTAAGAGTCCAGTTCACTTCAGAGCATCTGTGCTTGTTCTTTAAGACTAAACTTCATGCTTATAATAATGTTCCGTATGTGACTACATGTCTCATGGAGTATTCCATAAGTATGTATGTGAGGAAACAAAGTACCGGAAGAAGTCTAGCAGATATGGAACTGCCTTTGCTTTTAAAGATTTAATTTATTTTCATTCTGTGTGTGTGAATGTCTGCTGTCTTAGTCAATGTTCTATTTCTGTGGTGAGACACCATGACCATGGCAACTCTTACAAAGGAGAACATTAAATTGGAGCTGGCTTACGGGTTTAATCCATTATCATCATGGTGGGAAGCATGGCAGCACACAGGCAGACATGGTGCTGGACAAGTTGCTATATCTGCATCAGCAGACATCAGAAAGAGAGGGAAATACTGGCCCTGACTTGAACATTAGAAACTTCAAAGTCCACCCCTAGTGACACTTCCTCTAACAAGGCCACACCTATTCCTACAAAGCCACACCTATCCCTACAAGGCCACACCTCCTATTGTGATTCTCCCTATGAGCCTATAGGATCCATTTTCATTCAAACCACCACATTTGCCTTAATGTATACATCTGCAGCATTCGCTTGACTGGTACCTGCAGAGGCCAGAAGATGAAATCAGACACCCTAGAACTGGAGTTACAGAAGGTAACCGCAGTGTGGGTACTGGGAACTGAACCTGGGTCCTCTGTAGGAGCAGCAAGGGCTCTTAACCATCTCTCCAGCCCCTGAAACTTCCTTTTCATCTACACACATTTCTACCCCTGCAAGAGATAAGTATGAATAGGCAGGGCTCTCTGAGGACAAGCCAATCACTTATTCATAAAAATTCCTTATTTCTATTAGTGCTGCTTGCCTAGAGGTGTTCTTGAAATAAAGCTACTGAGCAGTGGGGTAGGAATGTTGGGCAATAGACAGAGTTCATTAGGAGGATTAAGCATCCGTCTGTGAAGATGGTTCGCTGGGCACTGATTACCAAGTTGTCTCAGCTAAGGAATACAAGACACTTAGACAGGACAAGTTACATAAATTGGGTTAATTGCTTACAGATAGGCAACAACAGGCAATAGAAGCCTAGAATTTACCACAGGACTACAGGAATGAAAGAATGTTCCCAGGCTACAGAAATGAAGATGAAATCTGGAATGCATGAGTCCTGCTTCTGCCACAGTAAAAAATACTCCAAGTATTCCACCCTCATTTACCACCTGAGGTGTTTGACTCAATGGGAGAGAAAACTATGACAAACTTTATTCCTAGTAAGGGAATATGAAAGGAGTATTATCTTGACAAGCTCCTCTCTATCTCCAGATTCTGCATTCTCAGCTCATTCTATAGTCTCTCTTGAGAAGTACAAGAAAAAAAATGGAGTGGATAAGGGTTAGTTCATTACAAAGATACCCTGAAATCTGTCATGTTCTGTCGTCCTAGAACCCATAGTTAAGGCTCTCAGACATTAATGAGAAGTGATAGAAAACCATTATGAATGCGACTCAGCCTTCCATAACTCACCCCCAATCTATCTTTCTAGTCAAAAAAAATATGCTATAATGAATAGTTTAAAAGGGGTATTTTCAATCCATGTGGAAGGCAGCATCTAAAATAATCACATTAAAGTGATCCCTGTCTCTGCTGTTGCATGCTGTGCGAGAGTTAGATCTATTGACTTGTTCTAATAAATAGAACACAGCAAAACTAAGGTATATAAAAAATGTGGCTTTTTCTGGTCTGTATTCTGTCTCTGGTCCTTTTTGTTCCCTTGTTTTGATGAAGCAAGCTGTCATGTATAGGCCTCCCTGTAACAAGGCAAGAACCTGGACCACTGTGAGGAGCATAAAGCTTTAGAGCCACAGGCTAAGAGGAACTGGGCATTCCAGATATCACAAGAGAACGTGAAAGCAGGTTCTCCTACCCCACATCCACTGGAGACTTAAAATGAATGTAGCCCTGGCTGCCACCTTGGTCATAGGCTCTGGGATAGTTGGAACAAAGAGAACTATACAAAGTAGTACCCAGATTTCAATTCCACAGAAACATAGATAATGTATGTTTGATATTTAACTAAGTCATAGGATAATATTTTTATGCAAATAACTTAATATAATCAAAATATTGGGAAAGGGAGCTGGAGAAATGACTTAGCAGTTATGAAGAGCAATCATTGCTCTTGCAGAAGATCCAGGTTCAATAGCACAGTGGTTCGTAACTATCTGGTTCCTGGGGATCTAACCCCTCTTCTGACTTCCATGGGCACCAGGCCCACATGTGGTGTATATACACATGGAGAGAGACAAAATATTCATATAAAATAAAGATAAATTTTTGAAATGTTGGGAAAGGATTTTATGAGGAGTTCTTTTGTGCATTTATCACAGATTATAAAAATATTAATAAGGAACTAGAAATGAATATTAGCAAAGACAAGAAATAGTAAGAAAATAATAATTATAAAATATAGTACACAGTAGGATTTTCAGTCTAATTCAAACTCTAAATATCCTTAACCGTGGATGGTCAAGGGATACTGTCTATAATGTTTCCTAACCTGAATTTTCCCTGACTTAAAATTACAATATAAGTTCATTCTACATTTGCTCTCTAAGCTAACAGACCCTGCCTTATAAAAATTTAAAAATGCAGCTCTTTCAAATTGTGAAGCTGATTCTGTTCAGTGCTTCTTTTTTTCTCTGCTTTGGGTTCCTTTGTCACACTGCAGGGCCAACTTCTAACTGCCATTCCAGCAGAGTGGCTTTTGTATGTCACTTCCTCTTCTTTTCCCATAGCTGTGTCAGATTTCAAGCCAACGGAAAAGAACCAGCATGCAATTCTTTTAAATACAGCAAAGCAAAAGTCCATTCACATGTATTCACATTTCAGTAAGGCAGTTTCTACATTCAACGCATTTGTTTAAAAACAAAGATTTAGACTCCCGATTCCATTGCTTGTTAATAAAGAAACAAAGCACAGAAAAGAGCACAAGCTACTATGACAGAAACTTGAACACATTTTAGCAGCTGTAACTGATACATCTTTTCCATCATTTTTAAGACTGTTTGTCAATCTTCAGAACCAACTTCACTGGATCGGAATCACCTAGGAGACATACACTGGGCATGACTTTGAGGGAGTTTGCCAAGACATATAAGTGAGGAAGACAGATCCACACTAAATGTGGGTGGCAGAAGCAGTGGTCTATGGCCCCAGGTTGGAAGAACAGGGTTGAAAGTCAAATCGAGTACAGACCTCACTGGTCTCAACTTCTGGACTGTAGTACAGTGTTCTTGTCTCACACACTCCCTGCCATGGCAGACAATGTTCCCCAAACCATGAACCAATAGTAACCCTTCCTGAAGTTGCCTTTGTTGGGTATTTTGTCACAGCAGTGAGAAAAAATAAAGAAGTTGGGAGTATGGTTCAATGGGCAGAGGTGTGCCAAAAGTCCTAAGTCAGAGTCAGGGGGTCAGGAGTTCAAGGCCAACCTGAGATACATGAGACCTTCTCTAAAGGGGAAAAAATTATAAAGTAAGTGAATATAAAACTAAATTACTACAATAAAATGCTTGATACCAATATTTTGATACCAAAGAAAATGATATATATTTATGCAAAAAGTAGTAACAGGCTAATGCAAAAAAAAAAAAAAATCCTTGAGAAAATAACCCTTTAACACACAATTTCTACTTCCTTCTTTTTTGTGTGAATGGTGTATATCTGTTTTCCTGCATTTCCTCTCTAAATACATTAGTCACAGGATACATGGCCTGTGGCTTAGCTTTAACATATTGTTTATTTATGCATTTTAATACATACTTAGCCTAAGAGGTTCTGTATATCCAATTCCCAATCAGCGCTCTGAAAAAGTGTGTTTGAAGCTTTATGATATAGATGCATGTATAATCATCACAAGATTCTGATGGAATCCATTCATATACCTGGGTGTGTCACATGGGGTGGGGTAAAGCACAAAGCTGCTATAACCACTTCATCCCTGGAGAAACTGGCATCCCATGATAATACCCCCCTGTCTAGATATGAGCCTGACTGTCTGAGCAGCTTCAGTTGCAAGTATATAAACTCCTCTGCAAATATATAAACTCCTTTGCAAATATATAAACTCCTCTGCAAATATATAAACGGACTCATGTACATTTTTGAACTCACAAAATAACTTCACATCGAGGTTATTTTGCAAATGTTTATTGAGTTAGACTATGAAGATAAATACTTAGTTTCCTCATCAAGCTCTGGTTAAATTCACATGTTATCAATAAAATAATGAATGTTGTAAATATCTTGATATAATTTTAGTTCATGTGATTTAGTTGGTGCTTCATAAATATATTGCAGAGGGGTCTCTAGAAGTCTGAATAATGGACAACTTGTAACAAGCCTTAACCAATGTGATAAACAGCAAATCAGATTAACAGGCTAGTGATGAAGCACAAGGTAAAAATGAAAAATAATGTGGGAATGATATCTTTGGAAAGTTTTATCACCATTGTCATTAATCCAAAAAAAAGAGAGAGAATATAATCTTAACATAATGAGGTAAAGCAGACAAGGCCCCATCCTCAGCTGATGGGTTATAAGCAGTCAATGGCTGTGGAGAAGGGAAGAGCAGTTTTTTTTTTTTTTTTTCCTTAGGAGTTGCCCGGTTGGCTTTCCCAAGCTGAGGTGGTCAGCGCTAAGCCCAGGTACACACAAGCTACAACAAATGGACTCAGTGAAGTGTGCAAACATACCATACACATATATGTGACCATAACAAGTACAGTGAAGTGGATGGACTCTAGTCTGAGAGGAACATAGGGAGCATGGAAAGAGTTGAGAGTGAGATAGGGAGAGTGAAAATGATGTAAATAAACTGTATTCATGCGTGAAATTCTCAATAACAATTAAAAATTTATTGAAAAAAAATGACAAAATAATCTAACTGTAGTTTGTAATTTGCCACAAAGTTATCTTTATGTCATATGGGTTATAAAAACTATGAAGAATAAATATCCATTATTCAAGTCTAATGTGAATTACTTATAAAAAACCCAATACTTTTTCCATGCCAATGAAAAAGCTGAACGGATTTGCTTAAACGATTGTAAGAAGAGCCTAGATGCTAGCATAAAGTGATGAAATCTGTTTATTCTGCCAATCTGATTGACTGTCTGTTCACTAGTATGCATTATGCTCAGTACTGGTAGTGAGTCCCTATTTGATAGTGAGGAACACTAAGTACACCACACAGAAGGAATTAACAATGGTACCAGTTACTGAAGGGGCAAGGCAGAACCCCCAGACTTGAAATCAAAGCTGGAATCTGGAAAGGGGGTTACCAGGCAGATAAAAATCTGGTGAAGGCTAAATCCTGTGTGCTAATATTAAAATAAGAGAGGACACATAAAGGATAAGTTTAAAGCAGGAATTAACTGTGAGCTTTTTAAGGTATTTGGTGATTATTCCCAGGTTGGTAGGAGTCTATTGAAGAGCCATAATGATTGAAGTGGTGCGGCCAAACTTACATTCTAGAAATATTACTATTGGCAGGGTTGACAGGGTTCCAGCAGCTACTATCCAGGGGCTGAATGTTGCTCTGTAAAGATGTTTTAATAAAATCTTGCACAAATGCAAAAAAAAAATTACCGTGACTATAA